AAAGCCTAATTGGATTGCACCACACCCCACCACTTTCCTGCCTCCGTTGCCACCATTTGCCCCCTTTACATTTCTGTCTGGCCCCTCATATATGCCTGTCTAGAAGCGGCCCAGTTGAGAACTGTCCAACTGACTGAATAAAATGTTTTTCTGTGATTCCAAGTTGAGCTACAGGGTCCGGCCTCCACACCATTCACAGGTTTCCTGTTGGAGGCTATAGAAGTGGGAAGTGAGACTCCTGTGGGTTCCTTTGCCACACCAGCAGGGGCTGCTAAAGTCCTCACCTGCAGCCAAAGACCTGTGAGTTTCCTTTCATGTTAATGTGAGCATCATGCATGATCATATGTTATACCTTAAGTCTACTGAAGGGCATATCAATCAATGAAGTAAAATGAAAACATTTAATGTATTCAGTACATTACTGAAAACGACAGTCAGGTTTTTTTCTGACACAAATACTAAAGAAAACAATGTGAACATGTGCAATAGAGCAAATCTTAGACCTACCTATACAAAGTTAATACATAGTTTTAGTGACAAGCTGCAAGGTGCATAATTAAAATTATATTGCAATATTGTTTCACAGCACATCATTTGATTTGCTTTCCTTTGGTAACTTTAACTATGTATAACAGTGACTGAAACAGTATAAACATGTCAAATAACGAAAACAGATGATATACAGTACATTCAAACAACATAATGATGTCATATGTGTGTGTGTCCAGAGCTCGGCTGTGTCCCACACATCAGGCTTTAATAGCAGCTACATTCAGGTGACATGGAGATCAGAACCATCAGGAGACATCAAAGCTGTTCAGTTCCGGTAAAGTTCATTCATTCTAGCAATGCACTTTGACTAAGTGTTTATACCCCAGTTCACACTGGTTTTGGTGTCGCTGCAGTGCATCCTTTGTGCAGAATTCTACAACATTTTGGGTTAATGTGATGAGCTCTGTCCTGACCTTCACTAATGGCAGAGCTGCTAGATCTGCAGGTGCCCTCACTGGGAATGGCAGTACAGATCCTGCACCACTTGTTGTAAGTAACAATGTCTGTTTTGAACACAATATGAGATTCACTACCAAACAAGCTGGTTGAATCATTGGTCAGTTTAACTGATTTGAAAGTATCCGTTGGTTTTGAGGCTGATGGCAGTCTACCATCTTTTATATTCTGTGGCACATCTTATACTGGGGCTGACTGTGGATCAGGAGATGGGTGTACACTGCTCTATCTAGCACAGACACACCAAATGGAAAGCAATAAATATTCTGGCCTTGATGGACAAATATGAAAGATGAAAAAGTCAGTCTAGCAACACTGCTGTTTATGTAGTTTATGCGTAAACCTGAATTTTTAGAATTCTGCATCACGTTTGTCATACACTCTTGAATTTCTAGAGCTTTTCTTGAGAGCCCAGAGTTAGCATGGCCCATTGAGCTAGGGCGCTTTCATACAATCGGTGTTTTCTTAAAATCAGAATTTTCTTTTTTGTTTAAGATTTGACTGTTTTTGTTAACTCTTAATATCTATCACGTTAGAGTTTGGTTTTCTCTCAACTGTGAGAGAGATTTTTCAAGCGAAGTCTCACACATGCATTTTGGTCTTGCACAAAATTTCCCAATTGGGAAAATAGGCAAAAACCTCAGAGGTTGATGTTAGGGCCAACATAGTGGTTAACGGTTAGTACTGTCATTGACACAGGAACTCTGCGTGTTCTAACTGTGACTCTGTGGATGATATACTTGTTAGATTAGTTGGTGATTGTAAACAGTATGGATGTACTTATGTACTCAAGCCATTTATACCTAGTTTCTAAATAGCTTGTTAGCAGAGCTATAGAACAGTAATGTGCAGTACTGAGCTTGGCTTAATGTTAATATATATGCAAACTGAGAAAAGAAAATGCTAAATGGTATATTCAAGTACAACATGATGATGTCATGGTTTCTTTCTCTCTCTTCCTCTGTGTATGTCCAGAAATCAGCTGCATCCATCTCTAGCGCTAACTGTGGCGTCACCAAAGTGTGCTTCAGTCAGCCTTCAAACTGTGACCCAGCAGTCAGTGCTAGCTGTTATTTCATGTCAGCCATGATGTTAGCTGGTGGTACAGCTGTCCAGTATGAGATGACTGGTCCTTATGAAGGCTACATCGCTTTTGGATTCTCTGATGATCAGAAGATGGTAGCGTAATGAAAATGTTCTTGATTCTATGACTGTTACATTTTTTTTTAAGAGATAACAATAGTAAGGCTCTTGGCATACTTGTACATGAGCAGCACCTGTGGGTGAACAGCTGCTGTTACAACTTCAGTTTGTTTTTGAAAGTTCACAACTTTTAGAAAACATCTGGTTGCCTTGTTTTCCCAAACAATATCAACAAGTTTGGATTTTTTTCCCCCCACAAGAATTAATCATTAAATAATAAGCATGCTAATTCCTTACTATATTTGTCTTTCCTCAGGGAAACGATGATATTTATGTTTGTGGAATGAACAGTAATGGACAAGTTGGTGTGCAACATATGTATTCAACAGGACGAACAACTCCACAAGTTGTTGCTCTGGTACTGAAGTTTTTCTGATATCAGTGATTTATATAAGGCTAGAATGTTTAGATATAATGCTTTGTTTCTGCTCTTAAAAATTGTGAAATTTCTTATGTGTCCTACAGGGGAACGTTTATAATATAACAACGTCATTGCAGAACAATGTCATCAGTTGTTCCTTCACTACTACGGAGATAATTTCTATACAGGGGACTTCAGGTTTCAGCCAATCCTACTACTTCATGTTTGTCTGCGGACCCAGCAGCAATGGTAACTACATGTGCCAGACTGTTTCTTACACCACAGCAGTGTAGTTTATATAACTTAACCTATCATATCAATAAATTGAAGATAGCATGCGATGAAGAAGACTATGGACTTCACAATATACTTAGAGAAAATAGCACATATGTCTCAAGACATGCATGCAGGTGATTGGATGAAAAAGAGTGTCCAAACTCTTCAAGTCAAGGCTACATGGTGGTGAGGGTTTGTCGCTCATAAGAAAGATCTGTTCCATCACTCTTAAAATTTAGGCAATTATTTAAATGTGCAATCTTTAAGCACTTCACTCTGAAAAAACGTACTAATAACAAAATTATACTCAAGTAAATACTTTTATTTTGAACAGTTAAGCAGGGCCTTTGATTGTACTTCCTTTTCCAATCGTGTGAACATTTTAAAAGAAGTCACATGTTTAACAACCCTGGTCAGTTTATTAAAAAAAATATAAAAGAATATTTTTCATGTCTATGTTAAAGTTTCTTTCTAAAGTGTTTTTCTTTTGTAAAACAACAAAAAAATTTTATAAAAATAAAAATATCATAAAGGAATCATACACCAGCATGTATCTAAATTTTCGATTACAGATTCAAACTTACTCAGCCATTGTTGTTGTT